AAAAAAAAACAAAAACACTTAAAAGAGGAGCACCTGGGTCGCTCAGTCAGTTAAGCATCCAACTCCTGAGCTCAGCTCAGGTCATGAACTCATGGTTCGTGGGTTCGAGCCCCATGTCTGGCTCTGTGCCCACAGCTTGGAGCCTGGAGCCTGTTTTAGATTCTGTGTCCCTCTCTCTCTGCCTCTCCCCCACTCACACACACACACACACGCACGCTCTCTCTCTCTCTCTCTCAAAAATAAACACTTTTAAAAATTAAAAAAATACATATATGTAACATATCAATTGCTTAGCTTAATATATAATGCAAATGGCCAACAAATAGATGTTAAGTATGAAATAAACGATAATGATACAGAAAATAGTATAACTATAACATCAGTACTATTAGTGTAACAACAGCTTCTACAATAGCAGTGCTGTGAGAATGTGGTCTTTAGGTTTCAGACAGCCTGGCTGAGAGGTCAGTGGCAAATCCAGAATTCATTTTCTTCATCAAAGAATGAAGGCTACAATAGTTTCCTTTGGTTGCTAAATTAAATGACACAATATATACAAAACATTTACTACATATTTTTGGCTTGTGGCTAAGTACTCAATTTTATGTTCATGCATAGCTTCATATCTGTACATCTACATCTACATTTATGTGTCTTTATCGGACATATACAGGGTCACATATTGGACACTAAGAGAATCATGAAATCCATTATTAAGATAAATTTGAGGTTGAATTTATTTATTTTGAGAGACAGCGCATGAGCAGAAGAGGGGCAGAGAGAGAGGGAGAAAGAGAGAATCCCAAGCAGGGGTTGAATGTGAGGCTTGAACCCACAAACCAGGAGATCATGACCTGAGCTAAGATCAAGAGTCAGATGCTTGGGGCACATGGGGGGCTAAATCGGTTGAGCGTCTTAGGCTCAGGTCATGATCTCATGCCTCATGGGTTCGAGCCCCGCATTGGGTTCTGTGCTGACAGCTCAGAGCCTGGAGCCTGCTTCAGATTCTGTGTCTCCCTCGTTCTCTGACCCTCCCCTGCACTCTCTCTCTCTCTTTCTCAGAAATAAATAAAATGTTAAAAATGAAAAAAAAAAAGTGTCGGATGCTTAACCGACTGAGCCATCCAGGTGCCCTGTGTGTCTGCTTTTCATTGTTTTTATAAAAGGGTAAATATCAAATCAGTGATTTAATCTAGTTTGAGCAGAGCTTTAAGATACTAATCCCAAGATATTGAAAAATAGTAAAAGTTTTTAAAAATCACTAATATTCCTCAGGTATCGATAATTACTTTTCATTTTTCAGTACTTTGGAATTAATATGTTAAAGCTTTGGTTGAGCTAGATTATTTTTTTCCAAAGATTTTATTTTTACTTTTTTTTTTTAATGTTTTTTATTTATTTTTGAGAGAGAGAGAGACAGCGTGAGCAGGGGAGGGTCAGAGAGAGAGAGAGAGACACAGAATCCAAAACAGGCTCCAGGCTCTGAGCTGTCAGCACAGAGCCCAACGTGGGGCTTGAACCCACGAACCGTGAGATCATGACCTGGGCCAAAGTCAGACACTTAACCGACTGAGCCACACAGGCGCCCCTATTTTTATTTTTTTAAATGTTTACTTACTTATTTTGAGAGAGATAGAGCACGAGCAGGGGAGGGGCAGAGAAAGGGAGAGAGAGAGAATCTCAAGCAGGCTCCACACCGTCAGCACAGGGCCCAACTTGGGGCTTGAACCTACAGACCGTGTGATCATGACCTGAGCTGAAGAGTCAGACGCTTAACCAACTTACCATTGAGGCGCCCCTTAAAGATTCTATTTTATTTTTATTTTTAAGTAATCTCTACACCCAGCGAGGCTCAAACTCACACCCCAGAGGTCAAGAGTCTCACATTCCACTGACTGAGCCGCCCAGGCGCCCCTGCGCTAGATGCAATCATTGGTTTGATACCAGCCTAGCATCTCCTCACACATCCTTGACCTGATGATGTATTGCTGCCTTCAGCCTTAACGAAAAGCGTGGCTTATGCAATTGAAAGGATGTCGTATTTTTCTCCACTTACGTGCCACTTCCGGCTTTCTAAGTGCCTACTTGTCAGCTCATTTTAAGTAAAACCTTGACCCAAAATGCTTAAAACTTGCAGCTCTCCGTTCTCTGATTCCTTTGAGCACTTGGGCATATGATAAACAATTCACCAGACCGAGAGAACCAATATTGGTTCCAAAGAGACTTATTTCACAAATGACTTTTTCTCTTGATGGAGTTTCAATGGGAAATTTAATCCACTCGACCGTTTAAAGTTGCTAATCCTATGGTTTTAAACCAATCGTCAGGCTGATGAGGTAACAGGAAGTCAGGAGCTTCTCGCTCGGTATAAACAGAGACATTTCAGTTCCAGACGCAGTTTGAGAGCTGGCCCCCTGGAGGCAGGAAGGTGTGCGGAGGTAAGTTAGGGCGGGATGCCTAAGGTCGCTGGGGTGGATGGAGGTGGGAAAGAGGAAGGCCCGGGTTTCTCTTCACTCTGCATTAGCTCTGGGGGCTTGTGACGACGTATCTTCCTACACCCCGCTAATAACTTTGATTCCTTGACGAAACCACCTGGGAAGTGGGAATAATGTGAATACATCCGTGGTACGGTGGGTGCGGCTTATACTTTGAACCAGGGTGTTTCACCTCAGATGTTATTTTTGGCCAGATAATTGTCTGCTGTCTGGTGTGGGGGAGGGGAGTTGGGGGGCTGTCCTGTGCCTCGCAGGACGTTTAGCGGCACCCCCCCACCTGCCTCCCCCGACCCGTCTCCCCCATGCCCGGGGTTAAGACAACCAAAAATGTCTCCAGATGTTGCCCACGGTCCTGAGGTACGAGGGGAGCGGGGTGGCTTTTGTCACCTTTGGTTGAGAACCATAGATCTAAATGTTGGTCTCTCCATCCCGTAAACACGTGCCAGGCGTGTCCTCAGCCTCCTCTTTGTCCCTACGCAACCTCAGGGGTAGATTTCATCTTGCCCACGGCCCGGAGAAGGGCTATGGTCTCCCAAGAGCTGACTGATTGGCCAGGACCCCACAGCTAATTGAAGCTAAACGTGGACCTAAAACACTGAGACGAAGTAAGCCTCCCCAGTGATCTGAAACAGGACGAAGGTGGACTATTGTGGATTTTAGGCAAAATGTCTTGCCTTTGAGTTCCATGTGGCACATGGTTCTCCCGAGACTGCTCAGCGGGCCACGCTGCTGCTTAAAAACACATCACTAGGTGTTTGCTGTCCATGGGGTGAAATCGAATCTTTAGTTAAGGGCCTCATCAACCTACTATAGCCGCTAGGGTTAGACCCCCTTACCTGGGTGCTGGGGGCTCTCCCTTGTGAACTGAGCCTCCCCCTCGCCACCCCCCCCTCCGCCAAGTCCACAGAGTAACAATGTGGTTCCTGACTTTGTGAGCTAGGTTGAGAACGTCTTAAACTCTTCCAAAATCTTGCTTCTCTGAAAACTTCAAAGAGCATTGGATTTTAAATCCTTTTTTCTGGGATGACATTAAGTATGTAACCCTTAGAGACAGAGCCGGATAATGGATTACCAGGGGGAAGGGGTGGGTGGGGATGGGGCAGGGTTTCTTTTTGGGGCATAAATAAGTTCTGGAACTAGACAGTGGTGGCGAGTGGTTGTACAGCATTGCAAATGTGAGCACCCCGCAAAGTTGTATAGTTTAAAGGACTGAATTTTATGCCATGTGTATCTTATCACGGTAACAAAGTTATCTGTTAATCCTGTTAGGATTCTCTTGAGTCCTCCCTTTCCTGGAGCAAATCAGTAATCCTGGGATGAACAAGGAAGTGTCCTGGGGGACAATCTTGGGCTAATATTTCAGTTAGTTAAGCATCTGACTCTTGGTTTTGGCTCAGGTCATAATCTCACAGTTCCTGAGTTCTAACCTGACAGTGTGGACCCTGCCTGGGATTCTCTCTCTCCCTCTCTCTGCCCCTCTCCCGCTTGCTTGCTATCTCTCTTTCTCAAAATAAATAAACAAACTAATCTGGTTCATTCTCTCCTCCCCACCCACCCCCGGACTTGTGAAAACACAGCCAGTCTACTGCTGAGGAGAACCAGGGTAAATTCCTTTAGGTGGGTCTTAATTAGGCACCAGCCTTTAGAGAGTTTGCACGGAGCCATATTGGAAAACTCTCCAGTAAGTATGGCCACGGACCAGACGTTTTCAGAGGATCGTGAGAAAGCCCAAGGAGCCCCCGCTGGAGGGCAAGACAGCAGCCGCGAGAGGTGGCACGTGAGCTTCCGGGCGTTTACCAGCTCGGGGAGGTCGGACCCCGTGGAGGACCTGAGGAGGCTCGGAGAGCTCTGCCAGCTGTGGCTGCGGCCAGACCTGCACACCAAGGAGCAGATTCTGGATGCGCTGGTGATGGAGCAGTTCCTGATCTCCATGCCGCAGGAGCTCCAGGCCCTAGTCAAGGAGAGTGGCGTGCAGAGCTGCAGAGAACTGCGGGGCCTGCTGCGGAGCAGCCACACCCCCAAGAAATGGGTGAGCAGCGCCTTCACTGCAACGGGAAAGGGGGAGCTGGTATGGGGGCCACGGGGGGTTACTCTCCGGGTCAGTGGTTCTCCAGTGGAAGGCAGACTGCCCCTCAGGAGACGCTCAGCAGTGTCTAGAGACATCTCTGACTGTTGCAATGGGCAGGAGAGGGGACATTACTGGCATCTGGTGGGTTTCACGGGTCTATGCCCTTGGCGGTCACTCGCCCTGCCCTATGTAGCTCTCTGGGACGGTTGTGTAAGGGATGTTCCAGACACCCGAGGAAAAAGAGTGAAACCAGTCCACTGGCCCCACAATCCTTGGTATCACCAGAGACCCTCTTAAAAGTGATCCTACCTGAGTAAAGCAGCTACAGGTTGCAGAGAAGTGCAGTGGACACGTTGCCATGGTAACGAGTCCTAGGCGGCTGGAAAGGGAGGGGTTGGGAGAGGAGGCTTTTGACTGGATGGGGGGGGACTCTCAAACCAACTAGGGATGACTGGGGGCGGGCCATCCTTTGCTTTGGGGGCTTTCTGGTGCATTGTGGGGTGGTCCACAGGATCCTTGGTGTCAATGCCAACCTCCCTCGGTTGAGAAAATCGAAACTCACCACCCCACCCCATCTGCCACCAAAAGTCTCTGGTGGTTGCCAAATGTCTTATAGGGTCAAAACTTTGGCTCTTGGGTAAGAATCACCAGACCAGGTAAGACTTTATTTACATGGGAACATTTTCCATCATGGTGGCTTGAGTGTGCCTGTATCCTTTGTAGAAAAAGCAAGGGTCGGAAGGATCTAGGAGGGAATCGAACCTGGTGTACTACATGCACATTTGCTCCAGTCACTGGAGATGGGTTCTCTATAGTCCATTTTGTAACAAGTGGACAGAAGGGAGCTAGGTCCAACGTGGCAGCCCCCCTTTCCGAGCACGCTGGTGGGAGATGTGGACAGAAGGGAGCTAGGTCCAACGTGGCAGCCCCCCTTTCCGAGCACGCTGGTGGGAGATGGCATCCTCCAGCGGCCGAGCCACGGATGGAGGTTTCATATTGTGGGAAAATAGCTGTGGGAACTGTGTGTAGGTGTTAATCCGGAATGACGCAGGAGATTCTTAAGGAAAGCTGGGTGACATGTAGGCTAAACATTGGAAGCCTCACTTGGGGGGAGGTGTTGGGGTTTTCACTGCACCATGTTGCACGAGCCTAGATAGGAGTGCACAAGGCATGCTTTAGGAGGACAGTTTGAGGGCTGAGTGTTAGCTGAGTATTAGTATTAGTTGGGACGGTGGGAAAAAATGGGGAAAAAAAGTACTGAGGTTGGTTAGATATTAGGCCAGTATTTAGTTGCCCAATACAAGGGGGTGGGGTGATTTCATCTTCATCTCCTAGGGGTGCATTTGACAATTTTGGGAGACATTTTTGGTTGCCATTTTATTATACTTTTTTTTACAGTTTTTTTTTTTTTAACATTTATTGAGAAACAGACAGAGCATGAGCATGGGAGGGGTAGAGAGCGGGGAGACACAGTCTGAAGCAGGTTCCAGGCTCTGAGCTGTCAGCACAGAGCTCGATGTGGGGCCCGAACCCACAAGCAGTGAGATCATGATCTGAGCTGAAGTCAGATGCTTAACCGACAGAGCCACCCAGGTGCCCCTGGTTGCCATTTTAAACAAGTTATTCCCACAAATTGCGTGGTAGGATGTACACAGTACAAAAGCTACATTCCGGTTCTTAAGAGAATCTGATCTTGTTTTATTCTTCTCACCACAGACCATAGTCAATATACAAGGACAGGAATTTCTTGTGCAAAGTTCAGATGTTCAGAAGGCCGACGCTGAGCCTGGGGATGCAGATCTTGTGACAGGCTTGTCCAAGAAGCCCCAGTCCTCTGGGAGTGAGATACATCCAGAGAACAGCCAGGTCAGCAGAGAGCTCCAGAATCTGCCAGGAGTCAGTGAACCCTCAAGGGAGCAGGTGAGTGTGATGCCCTCCTCGATCTCTAGGGAGTGGTGGCAGAAGGTACCCGAAGTTGTGTGTGTAGCTGCTAGAATTATTGGGGTATTTAGCATAGCATCGAACTAGACCCATTTAGCCTAGGAATTCCCATGGATGCATCAAGTCCCTAGACATATTTCTGAACCTCTATGGAGAATTAAGACTCCCCAGCCTTTGTCCTCCTGCCATTAAAGCTTTTAGTGTTGGGGCACCTGGGTGGCTCAGTCGTTTGAGCGTCCGACTTTGGCTCAGGTCATGATCTCACGGTTCGTTGAGTTCGAGCCCCGTGTCGGGCTCTGTGCTGACAGCAGGCTCGGAGCCTGGAGCCTGTTTCAGATTCTGTGTCTCCCTCTCTCTCTGCCCCTCCCCTGCTCACGCTATCTCTCTCTCAGAAATAAGTAAAACATTAAAAAAAATTAAAACAAAAAGCTTTTAGTGTTAAGTCTGGAGAAAGAAATGAAAAGCAATGAAATGGTGCCAGGTCAATTTGCCACAGGGTAATGAACTGAAAGCTGATTTTTCCATAGTCAGCTTTCTCCAAGGCGTTCCATGAAATGACAGTTACCCAAAGGACAGCATTTGGGGAATGTTGTCAATATCTTAAAGGAGTGGTTCTCACCTGGAGTCATTTTGCCTCTCAGAAGACATTTGCAAATGTCTAGAGACCTTCTTAGCTGTCAGATGGAGGTGAGGATGGGGGGTGCTCTTCACACCTGCCTGGTGAGAGACCGGGTATGCTAATCGTCCCACAAAGCGTAGGAAGGACAGCCTCGCAACGGAATCATCCAGCCAAAATAGCAAGTAGTGCTGAGCAGGGACACCTGCGCCCAGAGCCATCTTGCTTCCAGAGTCAGGCAGGGGGAATTGGGGGTGACTTGAGGTGTGTTTAGAGAATTGATGCTCTTAATTCTCTAAGCACAAAAACTTGTGAGGCGTGTACATGACTTAAAGGCGCAGTGGGTATTGATTGACAGCAATTCTGAGAATCAGGTGATGGTTACCAGGAGTGATGGGGTGCCCCAAGGGAAGGTGGGGCATAACCACAACACTATTATGGAGATAGTTGGAGCCTCAGATTAGGGAGATGGGCAGGATGGGGAAAGGAGAAACCAGAGCTTTCCATGCCTTAATTTAGGCACATTGATAATGATAGTGACGGCCTATTGTCAGGGACAGAACGCTCTCCTGCCCGAGACCATTCCCGGAGAAGGTGTAGTGGTGGGTCTGAGGCTCAAGGAGAACGTGGAAAATCTGACGGAAGACCTGGAAGAGACAAGAATACTTAAATCCCAAAAGCCTCCCCTTCTGAAGCATCCTGGTGAGCATGGAGGAAACTGGGAAGAGTGACTTCCTCTGCCGGGTAGGGGGCTGGAGATGAAGCATTGACCTCTCCTGGTGGTGGTGGGGAGGGAGGCTCTCATACCTTTTCCATCACTGATTTCCAGAGTGTCCCACATACAACCCAGTCTCAGGTTTGCTGGTTGATGGGAAGTTCTTAGCCCATATCAGTGTTTGGTTCAAATGAGGCTGGCATCATTGAAGATGCTCATAAGAGTTGTGTTAACCCTTCTTTCAACAGCTTCAGTGAGGACAGAGGGTGGGAAGACTCGCCAAGAAAGAACCTACATTAAAAGTGTGGATGCGGACACATCTTCCAGGCGTTTTTCAGAGAGACAAGTTTCCGCTCAGAGTGGAAAGAGAAGAGAGTCCCAGAAGACTCAAAGTCCCAAAAGGAGAAAACAGGAAGCCACCTCCATTTCCCAAGATGCAGCCACACAGCTTGACAAGGAATTCTCAGCACAGCCTGTGTCGACATCAGTTCGTCCTGTGGGGGAAAACGCCACGGGAAGGACACCAAATGTATGCAGCCTGTGCGAGAAGGTGTTTCGTTATAAATCTCAGTTTTCCATCCACTGGAGGACGCACACGGGAGAGAGACCCTTTAAATGCAGCATCTGCTCCGGGAGTTTCATGCAGACTTCGGATCTCCGGGTTCACCAGAGAATCCACACAGGCGAGAAGCCCTACTCCTGCGAGATCTGCCTCAAGACGTTCACCCACGACTCCACCCTGCGGAGCCACAAGAGGGTCCACACCAATGAGAAGCCCTACGCGTGCGAAGAGTGTGGGAAGGCCTTCAGCCACAAGGGGAACCTCAACGTCCACCGGCGCACCCATTCTGGGGCAAAGCCCTATGTGTGTAGCGAGTGTAGCCATGCCTTTCGCCAGCTGGGAACTTTTAAACGCCACCAAAAAATACATTCGAAAGTGACTTCCCAAAGATTTTGTTATCAGAGCCAAGTCCCTTCTTAAGGAAGTTAATGGCGATTTATCACCTATTTTAATAAAAATGACATATCATAAGCACTTACAAGGTTTCTGGAACACAGTAGATGTTCCATCAATGTTTGTGGAGGATCTTGGAATGATGACATCTTTATTGGATTTCATTTTCTGTTTTAATTATGTCACATTGTTTTCCTTATAAGGCTTTTTGGTTTATGAAAGTAAGTCTTATTGTCAATATTTCCTTATTAAATTGTGGCTGCCGAATGTCTTCCTGTTATCCATTATTTTTAAGAACAATTTTAATGTTTATTTTTGAGAGAGACAGAGGACCAGTGGGGGAGGGGCAGAGGGAGGGAGACAAAGAATCCGAGGCAGGTTCCAGGCTCTGAGCTGTTACCACAGGGCCTGACTCAGGGGATCAAACTCATGAATTCTGATGTGAGATCATGACCTGAGCCAAAGCTGTATGTTTAGCTGACTTGAGTCACCCAGGTGCCCGTCTTGTTTTCCATTACTTCCTTGTCAAATAGGATGATCCAAGGAGGGTGGCCAGATTAAATATGAAATACTCAGAAATTTGGGTTTCAGATGAACATTTTCTTTAATTAAAAAAAAAATTTTTTTTAATGTTTCATTTATTTCTAGGGGAGAGAGAGACAGCGTGACCAGGGGAGGGTCAGAGAGGGAGTCACAGACTGAAACAGGCTCCAGGCTCTGAGCTGGCAGTCAGCACAGAGGCCGACGCGGGGCTCGAACCCACGAACTGTGAGATCATGACCTAAGCGAAAGTCGGACGCTTAACCGACGAAGCCACCCAGGCGGCCCCCGAACATTTTCTTAAGTCTAAACACATTCTGAATCCTCAAATACCACTGAATAAATAGACATTTTCAGAGTAAGTTTAGATTCAACAAAACTGAGGGGCTCCTGGGTGGCTCAGTCGGTTAAGCACCGACTTTCGGCTCAGGTCATGATCTCGCGGTTCGTGGGTTCGAGCCCCGCGTCGGGCTCTGTGCTGGCAGCTCAGAGCCTGGAGCCTGCTTCAGAGTCTGTGTCTCTCTCTCTGACCTTCCCCTGCTCACGCTGTCTCTCACAAATAAAAAACATTAAAAAATAAAGTGCAAAGTACAGAGATTTCCCAGAGGCCCCCTGTCCCCAGTCAAGTGCATACTCCCTTACTACCGGCACCCCGTATCAGTGGTACATTTGCTACAGCTGATGAGCCCATGCTGATGTCATTGTCATCCAGAGCGTATAGTTTAGAGGCTCACTCGGTGTTGTGCATTCTACGGGTTTAGACACGTGTGTGACATGCACCCACCGTTACAGTCTCACGCACAGGAGTTACACTGCCCTCAAATCCTTTGTGATTTGCCTGTTCCTCTGTCACCTGCATCCTGCATATTTTGCTAACTTTGGAGAACTATAATTTTCCACATCGACTACAGAGGCATTCTGAGACACTTGTTATTAGGTCACCTTAATTTCGTGACATGGGTGTCCCCTGAGGGAGGGCCTTGTTGAGCCACGGGTGAGGCGGCCCACACTCAGGTTCTGATTCAGTAGCTCCGGGGTGGGGCGTGAGAATCTGCATTTTAAGAAACTGGGTTTTGGGGTGTGTGAGTGGCTCAGTCACGGTTCAGCTTTATCTCAGGTCATGATCTCATGGTCATGGGATCGAACCCCTATATCAGGCTCTGCGCTGAGTGGAGACTGGGCTTCTCTCTCTGCCTCTCCCATGTTCATGTTCTCACTCTCTCCCTCTCAAGCTCTAAAAATGAAAGTGTTAAAAAGCGCTGAGTTTTAGAATAGTTTTCTCAAGCCCACAGGCTTCCCGTGTGTTCTACAGCGTTTCCTCTGCTAACCTCGTTCATCGGTACCACACATGTGCCAACTGTTAATATGTTGGAACAGCCCCACACTTTACTGATTTTCACACAATGCCCCACCCCAGTCTCCTACCCAGGATCGCACACTGCGTTTCCTTGTCGGGCCTCCTTAGATTCCTCGTGGTGGAACAGTCTCTCAGACCTTCCTCGTCTTCGGGGACCTGAGGATCTGCACTTGGAAGAAGTGATACTTCTTCCTGATGATTCTTTTTTTTTTTTAATACTTTTTTATGTTTTATTTATTTCTGAGAGAGAGAGAGAGAGGCAGCGTGAGCAGGGGAGGGTCAGAGAGAGAGGGAGACAAAGAATCTGAAACAGGCTCCAGGCTCTGAGCTGTCAGCACAGAGCCTGACGCGGGGCTCGAACCCACGAACCGCGAGATCATGACCTGAGCCAAAGTCGGACGCTTAACCGACTGAGCCACCCAGGCGCCCCTTTCCTGATGATTCTGATGCTTCTGCTCTCAGGACCTTTTGAGAAAAGAGGTTGAACTCCCAGGTGGGGTCCAGTAACACTCAGAGTCCCGGGTCTGTCACTTCCCACAGGAAGTGGCCCTTTACACAAGTCCTCCTGTTTGTACGGAGGGTTTACAGTCCTTCTCTGGGACAGGCTCCCTGTCTGCAATCTGTCCGTGTGGATTCGCCCTTCACCCAAAAGCTTCAGGCTCTGAGCGCTCTTAGAGCTGAGCGGGAGACGGAGCTCCATCTTGGTGATTAAGTCCGCCTTCCTTCACCAGACCTGGAAAATGTTTAGGAGCTACAGCCTCCTCGTTCATTTTACTCGCAGGGGCTCTCATCGATGAAGCTCACCCAAAGCTTCTCCACAGCCCCATTTTCCAGTGTGGCTGCATGTTGGAACCATCTAGAGAGTAAAACAATAAAAAAAAAACAAAACCCCACCCAGGCATGGGGGCCACTCCCAGAGGTAAGGATTTGGCTGCTCTGGGGTGTGGCCTGGGCATTGAGAGTTTTGTTTTTTTGGATTTTTTTTTAATGTTTCTTTTTGATAGAAAGAGGGAGCCGGAGGAGGGGACGGGCAGAGGAGGAAAGAGAGAACCCCAAGCAGGCTCCACGCTGTCAGTGCAGAGCCTCACCCGGTGCTCACACTCAGGACCCTGAGTTCATGACCTGAGCTGAAATCAGGAGTCAGACGTTTAACCGTTTAACCGACTGAACCACACAGGTGCCCCAAGGTAAGAATTTTCTGATGGGCCATTTTAGTAACCTAGTGACTCCTATGGCTTGTCACACCACAGAGTCGCCCCTTTCCCACTGAAACCCATGAGGCCGTTTCAATGGCTTGATGGCCCACCTCCACGGCCAGCGAGGATGAACTTTGCTGTGTGTTCAGACAGGCCTGCGACCCTGCGCCCGCCCCACTGCGAGCTTTGTGCTTTCCCCATGCCTCCCGGGAGAGTTAGGGTTTAGAAGAAGGTGAGTGGGTCAAGTATGATCCACCATTCAATCTCTCCAGCCCTCTGGGTGTGGGCCTGGACCAGCTGCAGCTCACACAATTGTGGTACTTGTTAGAAATTAAATAACAATCAGGCTCTAGCCCAAACCTACTAAATCAGAAACCCTGGGGCGGAGGGAGGGGACTGGGCTCCCTTTGACGAGCCCTCCAGGGCGATTCTAATGCCTACTGAGATTTTCCGACCACTGTCCTTGAACATCGGTTCTTAGACTGGGTAGAGTTTTGCTTTGTTTGTTTTTGAGGTAACTATAGATTCAGAGGCAGTTGCAAAAAATAGTCCACTGGGGCGCCTGGGTGGCTCAGTCGGTTGGGCATCTGACTCTGGCTCAGGTCATGATCTCAAGGTTTGGGGGTTCGAGCCCTGCATCAGGCTCCGTGCTGACAGCTCGCAGGGTGGAGCCTGCTTCGGATTCTGTGTCTCCCTCCCTCTTTGATCTTCCCCTACTCATGCTGTCTCGCACTCTCTCTCTCAAAAAGAATTAAACATTAAAAAAATATTGCGGGGAGGTCCCATGTGCCCTGGATCCAGTCTATTAAAAAATGCCCAAGTGGCACGAGGCCAATGTATCTAAAGGCCTAGAGGGGACACCGGAGTGTGGAGACAGTCTGTCCCCTTCACACTTGGGCTTTCTTTGCCACCCCCCCCCCCCCCCCCCCCGCGCAAAAGAGCTCTTATCAGACTCGATGGTGATCTGCGTCTCCTTGGAGTCAGTAGTCATTCTTCCGTCCTCTGCCAAACTGGCCGACGATGGAACTGGCCAGGCCATGCCACCTTCTTTACCCCCTCGTCCCCGTGGCTCTGTCTTCTCCAGCTGGCTGCTCCCCTTCCTCCTCTGCCTCACGTCCTCTTTTTCTCCTAGATTTCTACATAGTGGCACGCCTTTGTTATGGGTAAAAAAATATATGTCAGATTGTTAGAATGAAAAATATGATTAAACTGTGCACATTCATGATAAAGTAATCATAAAATACAGACACAATAAAAGCAACAACTTTACAAAGCATACTTCCAGGGGCGCCTGGGTGGCTCAGTCGGTTCAGCTTTACGACTCTTGACGTCATGATCTCACAGTTCATGAGATTGAGCCCCATGTCCGTCTCAGCACTGAGGGAATCCTGCTTAGGATTCTCTCTCTGTCCCTTCCCCACTCGCACACGCTCTCTCAAAATAAATAAACTTTTTTAAAAAAGCATACTTCCAGTATTCAGAGATATTGGTTGTTAATATGCTGTTTCTTTCCTTTTAATAATTTAATTTCATTTACAATTCACAGAATTGTATTGACACTATTATAAATCAACCCAGTTATGTTTCTCTTTAATTATATACTTGCTTGTTTATTTTTTTTTAAATAAACTCTGCCCCCAATGTGGGGCTTGAACTCGTGACCCCAAGATGAAGTCACATGCTCTGACTGAGCAAGCCAGGTGCCCCTAATTTACTTTTGTAAAACAAAACAAACAGACAAAAAAGTGTCCCCAAGCACTGTTGTCTTCAGGAAACAGAATACTGAGAATAACACACATCTGCATGCTTCCCTGAGCACATGTCTCCCAGTCTCCTCACCTGGAGGAAACCTCCATCACAAACCCTAACATTATTATTTTTTAAAAAAAATTTATAATAGATGTATGAATGCGTAAGAATATATTGTTTAGTTTTGCTTTTTTTTAATGATTTATTTTTAGTTTTTTATTTCTGAGAGAGAGAGAGCGTGAGCAGGGGAGGGTCAGAGAGAGAGGGAGACACAGAATCCAAAACAGGCTCCAGGCTCTGAGCTGTCAGCACAGAGCCCGACGCGGGGCTTGAACCCACGAACCGTGAGACCATGACCTGAGCCAAAGTTGGACGCTTAACCGACTGAGCCACTCAGGCGCCCCTTCCTTT